GGTTCCAACCTGATGGCACCTGACAACAACAACAACAACAACTTCCAGAAAGCTCCAGCTTCAGAAACCCCTATTGGGGTAGTTCTACTCTGTTGTAGAGGGCTACTACGAGACAGAACCAACTTGAAGGCAGTGGGTTTGGTTCTTGGTTTACGCGTCATTTAGAACTCCTGAGTGGTGTAAATAGTTAAAACACTCAGCTGCTAAGCAAAAGGTTGGAGGTTCAAATCCATCCAGAGGTACCTCCAAAAAAAGGTTTGGTATTCTACTTCCAAAAAAATTAGTCATTGGAAATGGTGTGGAGCACAGTTCTACTTTGACATGCATGGGGCTCTCCATGAGTTGGAATCCACTGGACAGCAACTGGTACTGGATAATTGACACTGGATAAGTAAATCTCTAGACAGAAGGGTCAAGCTGGACTGTCAATACGCTTTTACAGAAAAGGGAACGCTGGGCATGAGACTGTTAGCAACTTCTGTAGCACAGAAGGAGACCCCCTGTTTCCCAATCCTGGCTGGACATTTACAAGCTGTGTGGACCTTACGCAAGTCTACTCTGTGAAAAATAGCAATAACAATAACTCCTTACCTGGAGCGCCCCCAGGGTGATTGAAGGAGGTAGTGAGTGTAAGGCACCTAAGCACAGTGAGTGTCAGTACATGGCAGCCCTACATGGGTCGGCCCAGGCTTTGTTGTGATGACTTCATTACAATGCAGTAATGAATCCCCACCTGTCTTTTCTTATTCTAGGTCGGTGCAGCTGAATGGCCAGCCCTTAGTGATGGTGGATGACGGGACACTTCCAGAATTGAAGCCCCGCCCCCTGCGGGCTGGCCGGACACTGGTCATCCCTCCAGTCACCATGGGCTTTTATGTGGTCAAGAATGTCAATGCTTTGGCCTGCCGTTACAGATAAGCCATCCTCACACCCACAGGCCACCAGCGGCCAGCTGGACTGCTTTCCACTTTTCTGCCCTAATAGTGTCCTCACTTTTCAGACATCTTCTTAGCAACAGCCCAGTCTCTTCTTCCCAGCCTGCTGGAATCCACATTGCACTCCAATGAGACCAACTGTCATAGTGTGAGGTTAGCCTAGGTAGGTCCCATCCACCCAAAGGGAAATGCAGCCTGCATCTGTACCTATATTGGGACAGAGGTATGTTTGTAGAGCTACCCAGATCCATGTACATGCACCATGAGAAATCCAGGACAAATCTTTCCATACACCTCCCCATGATCTTGGCCACAAACCACAATCCGCAGTCTCAGCCGAGGTGAGGAAGGAAAAACCCAGGGGCCTGTGAGCGCCCTATCCTCTTCCTTGGTCTGTTTTCTGCTGCTGCCCTGGGTTTCCTGTCACCTCTCTCTTTCCCGTAGGGATGTAAATGGGTGAGTCTGCTCTAGCCTGCTGGATGAGCTGTTTATGTAATTTCATGGCTGATGTGTGAGCGCATGCATCTGCGTTTCTGACAGTGGCATCAATCACCTACAAGTCCTCTGGGAAGCGGGTGCTTCAAAAGTAAAATTCCAGTCAGACTCCGGATTTTGTAAAAAGGTTCTATTCCTCCTTGAATCCGGATTCCCCCTGGCTTGGAATGGGAGTCAGGTAACACTATTCATGGAGTAGAGAGCAAGTTGTTAGGCGCCACCAAAAGCAATCAACATCCTTCATGTTGCTCTAAGGAAGAGAGTTCAAGTACAGAGAGAAAACACACTGAACCAAGCAAATCAGACATAATTTGCAATCAGAAGACTATGAAAGACCTGTTAGGGTCAGCCCTTACTGTGAGGAGGTGTGGGTCAGAGGTCACCACCATTAGCAACTCCACTGCTGCTCCTTCCCAGGTAGCTGTGCGTCTCTCAGTGACACTAGCCAAACAGAAGTCCAGCATGGTCATGACAGATAAGGAGGTCTATCTTCTCAGACCAGCTTTGTCCAGAGAACATGGCTTTTAGTTCACCACTTGGGGAAGAAGGGAGAATTTGGAGACTGGGGTCTGAAGGCAAAACTGTGCAGTTAGAGGTAGGTGCCACATAGCTGAGTTGGGTGGCTGACTGTGTCTCCCCAGAGCCCCTGAGGTGGACAAGAAAAGAATAAACAAGATGGGAAGCTCAGGAGAAGGACTTCCCAGAGTAGTCAAAGGGTCTGCAGGTCGTTGCACCCAAGCTACACCTGAACTACATTCTTTTCTGTGGACAAGACTTTCTTTCTCTGGATAAGGGACATGAATGGTGCTTATAAGAAGGGGCTGGGAGGGTGGAGGATTTGACACTGACTGCTGTACGGTTCTAATTCAGAGACTGTCAAGAAGGATAGACATGGGCTGAGGGGGGCCTGGTGGAAGCCAGGGAGACAGCCTAAAGGGCCTATAGAGTGAGAAGTGAGACCGGAGGCCTGAGGAAGTTTAGACTGGAGAGAAGGCAAGTGTTCACAACTGGGAGGACTCAGAATTTGCAAGAGGGAAGCCAGTTAGCAGGCTAATTTCACGTGTAAAGAAGAGCATGGACTTGGCTTTTGTTCATTATCAGGTATGACAGGAAGGGCAGTGGGAGGGTACTCAAGAGTGAGAAGGTGGGAGACGGCCAGAATGGGCCTGGTCCGGGAGGCCCTCTGCAGGAAAGCAGCTGGAGAAAGAAAAGCAGACCTTAAGGGGCTTCCTCTGCTCTAGAACCAGGCACCCCCACTGAGGCTTCGGCTCGGAGGAGAGAAAAGACCCCAACACTAGGGTAGATGGGCAAGCCAACATGAGGGAGACGGGCAAAGGGAAACAGGAAACAAAGAGGTTCTTTTCCAAACTTCTTCAATGGATGCAGACATGAGTATAGTACACCTCTTTCAGCTGCTTGTACAAATCCAGCTCAGGAGCCCTAGTCAAGCAATGTTAACCTGGCCCTGGGCTGGTTGACTATATTCACAGTGGCTTCAAGGCAGGAGTTACTATTGTTTTCCCTGAGAGGGTCTATAGCTGCCTAGGACCACATACAGAGTTGGGTTGTTGACCTTTGAGTCATCCAGAGACTGCCCACTTGACCCCAAACCTGTGCTACCCAAAACACAAACTCACCTCTTCGTTAAAAATAGAAAAAAAGTAGCTAGGAGTTGGTTCAGATTCTTGACAGTCATCAGCAATTCACAAGCCCTGGTCAGGTGACTCCCAGCAGACACTCTCTGAAAGTAGCTGTTGATTCTCCACTGAGCCTCTAAACTTGCAGAATACAGGCAGTCCTGCTTCTTTTGTTTTTCTCTGTATATTAAATGCTGCTCCAAAGAGGTTTAAGTTTTGTTTATTTTCTAGTTAACATAAAGAGAGGAGAAAACCAGAAACATGTTTTGTTGTTGTTTGTTATTAAGTGCAATGTGCAGTCGGTTCTGACTCATAGCGACCCTGTGTAGGGTTTCTGAGGAGCAGCTGGTGGGATTGAACTGCCAATCTTGCTGTTACCAGTGCTTATTCTACAGTGCAACACCGGCATCCCCATTTATGTTTGGAGTCCTGGAATTGTAACTTAGCATCAGTCTCTCATGGAAGAAGTATTTATGTTGTTAGAAGAAAACAGGGAAATTCCCCATAACATCAAATTCCTCAGAGACTTTCACATAGCACATAGTGACTTTTACAACTTCAGGGCCAAAATATCAGACCTGTTATGGCAACAGTTCTCCAGAACTTTCTTCGTTGGGTGGGTTTGAACCACCAGCCTTTAGGTTTGCACAAACTATTTGTGCTATGCAGGGACCTACTTCACCCAGGGACTAAACCAATGGGGACTGCTCTTTTTAAGAGGATTTCTGATCACACTCACTCCAAAAGTAGCCTGTGATCAAACTCAGCATCACAATTAAGAGATCAGGTTGCCAAACTGAGACCAGGTGTCAAATGTTCAGCCACCCAGTTGCCTAGATCAGATTCTTCTTCCTAAACCAAGACATGGCCAAGATCCTCCAAGACTTAAGAGCTGTTTTATTTATAACCAAAGAGTAGGCTTGCAGAAATGTTTATTTCAAAGAATAATAATGCATAATGAGAACTCTGTGCCTTTTGTAGAGATGGTTTTCTACGCCTGTCTGTAGGAATGATGCTCTTTCTCATTTCTTATCAAGAATGCTCAGAGCAAATTCTCTTTGTTACTTGGATCATAGTCCCAGTTGGTCTAGTGCCCTGAAAGGCTGTCACAGTGGGATATTAGCATTATCTCTGGCAGGAAAAAGCTTGGAAATACCAGAACTGGGCTGCAGTGAGACTGAGGCTGGGACTTCCAGGCCCAGTTCCCACATGTCCTGTCCCAGCAGCAGGACAGTCCCCCGGGCAGATGGGAACCAAGCCTAGAGCTCCCTTCGCAGGACAGAGGCTCTTGGCCAAATCGGCCTGATTGACCACCTCTCTGCTGCCCCCTGGGGACAGGGCTTGGGAGCGCTGTGAACTGCCGCACTCTGCTGTGCTCTGGGGAGACCAGGTGTGTGTGTTCCCACTCAGGGTCGCTGGATTCGGGTGGCTGCAGCTGCAGACTTCACCTTGGAAATCCACTGAGAGCGGCTTTATTTCTGAAAACAAAAGAGCAATCGTTAATTTCAGCAGAAGCAAAAGCATTGCTCTGCTTGGAATCTGCCTGACCATAAAAACACATGCTGTGTGTGGGGAGGGATCTGGGGCAGGGAAGGACTACACTTTTAAAATACCAATAAAGCAACCAAAACAGAGATTATGACTTTGAGAAGACCACAGAGGAAGGGCCATAAACATTTATGCAACATGCTTTCCTCCACATGGTACCCCACCCACCCACCCCAGCCAGCCTCAGGAAAATTATCCTAGTCTGACCCTTGTCCCATTGTCCTAACTTATCCTAGTCTTGTCCCTGTTCCATTGTCCTAAATTATCCTAGTCTGGTCCCTGCCCCATTGTCCTAACTTATCCTAGTCTGGTGTTTGTCCCATTGTCCTAACTTATCCTAGTCTGGTCCCTGTCCCATTGTCCTTTTCCACTTACTTATCCTTCACACCCCAAAGCCTCGTCTGTGCCAGTCACTCTCTACCCAACCCAGAACCCAGGGGAAACTGAGGTCCTGAGATGGAATTAAATTTGATTTAAAAATTGTTTGTAATCTTTCTTTAGGATGTTCCAGAACTGGAACTAAAATAAGAAGGGGTATCCCAAAGAGAAACAGTGCCAAATTGAACAATTTTATTATTATATGGGAGTCGTGGTGGCGTAGTGATTAAAGCATTCAGCTGCTAACCAAAAGGCTGGCAGTTTGAACCCACCAGTCACTCCATAGAAACAGATGTGGCGATCGGTATCTGCCCAAGATGTGTCACCCTGGAAATCCTATGGACAGTCTAGTCTGTCCTCTAGGTCACTGTGAGTCAATTCGATGACAATGGGATTGAGTGTCACTAACAATGACAACAAGGACTTCTACAACTGCTCTTCAGTGAATGCCCTCCTTGTGCCAGATGCCTCAAAGAAGTCCCGTGTGACAAGTATCGTAGAGCCCAAGATAGAGAGAGAGGACTGGAGCAGTAACTAGTCCAAGCCCATATAGAGACCAGAGTTCAGAGCTGGAATTTGAACCCAGGTCTGTTGGGATCCAAAGTCTGCTCTCATTACACTGTGCTACCTCTGGTAGCGTAGTGATTACGAATGGGGCTGTGAACCACAAGGTCAGCAGTTCAAAACTACCAGCTGTTCCGCGGGAGAAAGATGAGGCTTTCTGCTCCCGTAAAGATTTACAGCCTCGGAAACCCTGTGCAGGGTCGCTGTGAGTCAGAACCGACTCCACGGCACATAACAACAACAACCTCACCTGAACGACCACAACCAAGTTTTCTTCACTTTAGTGTTGCCCCAGCTAGCTTTCCAGATACCCTGTGTGTGTCCTACAGAGAGGATTCCCCCCAGAACAATAGATCACTGTCACCTTCCCAGTTTGGAGAAGCAGACCAGCATCTGTCATTTGCCAAGAGTAGCATCGTGACCGGCTGTGGCCGTAGAACTTTGAAATCAGGATCCCTTGGCCTTCCAGCGACCCTCCTGAGCGTCTGCTAGTCCTCTAAGGTTTTCTGTAGGAAAATGTCTGCTATGCAGACATAGCTTCCACTACCACCCACCCAAGTGATGATTCTCCGTATTGTAAATACAGGAGGTAAGTGTCAGAACAAATCAGGACACACACATACAAACACACGCATGCTCATGCACACACACACATTGTTCCCAAGTGCACCTCTCCCCTTCCCACCACCACCCAGAAGTCTGGAAGCCTCTCTTCACCTCCCCATACCAAATAATAACTCCATTGACTATTGTCATGAAGGTAGTATTTGCAAATGCCACTCCAAAACAAAGTCTAAATACAGCAAACCAACTGTGTGGCACCCTGGAAGCCCTAGGGACATTTGGGAGAAGCAGACCAAGTTCCATGTGACTGGTTCATGACTAAGTCCCTCTGCCATGTGACTGGTTCACAAATGAGTCCTACTTGCATGCTCACCCAGCTGAGAAAAGGGGGCCATTCCTCATAGCCCACGTGGGTGCCCACTTCACAAACATTACTCCCCTAATTCGTCACGAAAACATTGTGGGATTATTTTTCAAGTTGTAAATGTTATGTCATAAAAGACATTTCTAGAAGTTGATGAAATGAGTACAGGTACGCGTTTCAGGACAAGTTTGTTCTCTGTGCAGGGGATTTTCACAGATTCAATGAAGGCTTAGGGGGCC